GATGGTCTGTTTAACCACCACCTCTCACCATGGGAGCCCCAATGGCTGAATAGAGGTGGTGTGGAGAGCTGGGGTGGAGAGCCATGGGCAGACGTCCATTTCAGCTTAGGGCATCTTTTGGGAGGACATTATGGTGTGGATTGATTGTGACTAAATGTCCTTGTCTTCATGCCTGTGCCAGGGGAGCCCATAAGGCCTTCAATGCCTCCCTGAGTGTTGCCTCTTCTCCACGTTATATGTCTAGTCCTTGTTCTTCATGTTCCACGAAGTGATTTTGCCCAGCTCCCTAGGAAGCATTTGTTCAGCTGCAGCTACGTCAGCGAGTGGGTAAACTGATCACCACATTTGAGATGGGCTTTCGGTATGGGCAGTTGGGTAGGCTCCATTTTTTCTGTTTTGGAGATGGGATCTCGCTCTATCGCTCAGGCTAGAGTGCAGCGGCATCATCATAGCTCACTGCAACCCAAACTCCTGGGCTTAAGCCATCCTCCTGGCTCAGCCTCCCAAAGTTCTGGGATTACAGGTGTGAGCCACCATGCCTGGCAGGTTTTGCTTTGAACACTTTTTTTCCCTCTGCCTTTCAAACTTCTGTTTAAGATCATGGGTTATGGTAGCAGCCATCCAATTTGCTATCTTCTGAATGTCTAGTTCACTGCCAGTGTTTGGGGAAACAAGCAGGTTTACACTTGCAGGTATGCAAAGAAGGGTTCACTTTTATAGGGCCTGGGTGGAATTTTGGGAATGTCTGGGTAAAGAAAATTCAGAGGTAGGATCTTCCATAATATCCGTGTTCTGCTTGCACTTTGCCCTGGCCAAACACAGCAAGCTTGCAGCAAAACAAAGAAGCCCCTCTGTTGTGACTCTCTGCTACCTTGAGTTAACTCCAGTTCATTCCTGTGTTGTCCTGGGGTCCAGAACAGCTGGGAGCACGGGCTGCTAGAGAAATCAGGATGAAAACCATTCAGCTCCTACCGCTGTCTTCCTGAACTTCTGGAAGAATTGCAGAATCTGTGTCCTATAGGGCAATGGGGGAGGTGGAGGGAGGAGGAGGATTTCTGTTTTAGATTAACAGGAGGATTTATCATGCCAAGAGGTCAATATTTACCTTGGCTTCAGCTTGATGAGTCTCTACCCTCTGTTCAGTGGCGCTCTCTCTGCTGACTTCAGCAGAAGTGAGGATCTGCTTTTTGTCTGCCGAAGAGGATGCTGACCGATATTTTCTTATCAGAAAGGCCTGGAAACATAAATGCCGCGGAGCCCACTTCTCTGATGGAGCTCGTCTTCTTCCATCAAGAAATCTGATCCCTCCTTGTACAAAGAACCCTGTCTCTAAGGCACTTTTGCACTCACAGAATGGGAAGAGTGCGAGATCGATTGTGGGGAGGTCACTTCTGGTCCCCTCGTCTGTTAATGGAGGTGCTAACTGCTGCTGGTCCACGTCAAAGAGTTGCTGTGATCAGCTGGGGACACAAAGGCTGAGAAAGCACTTTACAAACTGTGAACCTTATTTGTCCAGCTTCCACTGTAGTGAGTTTAGTGTGGGGGCGGAGGGCTTATGTGCTTGCTGAATGTCACCAAGGAAGTGAGGAGGAAGGGACATTGAAACCTGGCTCCCAGCTCCAAACCTCTCATGCCCGATGTCTTGGGTGCTTCAGAACAGTGGCTTCTACCTCTCTGGAAGTTTCAGCATGTATTTGGGGAATGCTGAGGCACAGTTTTGAAACAGAGACAAGTTTTTGTGTGGAGGGCTGGTTGGAGGGCACGGGGCGATGGCTCTGTGGGGGCGGAGGTGGCAGCTGCAGCTGACATCCTGATGCAGAGAACTCAGCCCTTCCCAGGGCTCTGCCAAGTCCTTTATTTTAGGGTTGCTCAACTCTCACTTTTGCTGTGTTTCATCTTTAAAAACTATGCAAATCACACCTTCTACACAATAATATTCTGTTTGTTTTAAAATAAAGCTTTATTTTAAACTGTTGACCATGGAGTAAGATGTACTGAGTTTATCCCACGGCTCCAAGAGTCCTCTGACAAAGCTCTGAGTATTACTGGGTATGAGTGTCCTGGCTGGCCCCACCCAGGGGGTTTGAGATGTGTGGTGTCCTTCCATCTTACCCCTCAACAAAGCCCTGAAAAGAACAATAATAATTAATATATTGAGCATTATAATGTGTCAGGCACACTGTTCCAAGCACTTTATATGAATTATTCATTTAATCCTCTTAGCAAATCCATAAATGAAATACTGTTATTATCATTCTGACTTCATAGATGAGGATGCTCAGCAAGGTTAGGTGACTTGTCCAAAGTCACACAGCTGGTGCTTCCTGGAGTTGGACTCTACTAGCCGGTATTCTCTGGGGGAGGGTAGCAGGTGATGCCACGGAATTCTTCTCCATTCTTCTTGGCTCCTACAGCCCTGCTGTGTGGTGCTGCAGCTGAAAATCTTGCCTACGAGAGAGAGAGCTTCAAACAGTTGCATGTGTCCACAGCTGCCTTGGAGGCTGGAGTGGAGGAGGAAGGGACAAGCCAGTCCACCCTCCACAGTTTATAAATAAAGACGCTGGAGGGTTCAGGGAGGGGATGCGTTTGCTCCACATCATCCTGCAAGTTACCGGGGGAACCAGGAGCAGCTGAGACTCTAGGTCTGGATGGTATGAGTGCTATCAGCTTGTTTTACTGATTTCATGCATCTTTGTTTTTTTACCCCTCCCCATCGAAATGGACTCTCATCTCCTTTGTAGAACATCTGTCCAGTCTGCCTGCTGTCTTTTGAAGGACACAAGCCCATGTTAATGCCTTTCCAAAGAAGAGTGTAAGCACCTCGAGGTGGACATTGAGGTCGAGGGTGGACATTGAGGACCATGCCATTTGCATCTTCAACAGCTTCTGCTGTGCACAGCTCAATGCTGGGCACACAGAAGTTGCTTAGTACATGTTCACAGGCTGGGATGAACTTACTGGCCCAGACAGGAAGAATTGGCCCAAACTTGGGCAACTGCCTCAGTCCTGAAGTTTCTGGGATATTTTAATTCTTTTCCTATTTTTGTCTTAAAATAATCCTGCACTATATGGAGTAGTGTTACATGCCTTTGTCTCCCAATTCCTCCATGGCCTTCCTAGCTTGGGTGCAGCCCATGGCACTGGAAGAATGAGTTTAAGATAATAAATGAAATTCCATTTCCTTACTGTAATGCCCCCAGCACAAAGCCAGTTTACAGCAACATGGCATTTCTCTGGTCTTTAAAATCTCATTGTGCACGTAAAGGCGGGTTCGGTGGAAGACAGAGTGCTTACAAATTCCTGGGGTGGATGGGATGACCTCATCATTTATTAGGTGTGGGCCAACTGCCCAAGGAGCACAGTTCAGATTCCTTTGGGAGAAGGTGCTGAAAACCCCTTGATAACCCAAATTCCCCAAATCTTTAGGCCTCGAGAAAGGGATGGAGGGCCAGAGGAAGGAAGCGATCCCACTAGGAGGCTGTCCACACCGAGACAACCAACCCTAACTCCAAGACACAGACTCAGGACTTGGGAAGTGTGGACATTCCATTTAAACAGCTGAGGTGGGATTTGAGGGAATTGAGTGAATAGGATAGGTAGTTTAGGGGAGAGGGTGAAGGAGGTTGGATACGGTATCTTGGGACATGTACGCAAGACAGTACATATGGGATATGTACATATGGGCACACATTGGGATGTGTAAACAAGAGGTTATAAAAGTTGGCTGTTCCTACCATGTTTTCTTTTCTTTTTTTCTTTTTTGAGGCAGAGTCTCGCTTAGTCACCCAGGCTAGATTACAGTGGTGTCATCATAGCTCACTGCAACCCTCAACTCCTGGGCTCAAGTGATCCTCCTGCCTCAGTCTCCCAAGTAGCTGGGACTACAGGTGTGCACCACTGCTCCTGGCTAATTTTTTTTCTATTCTTAGTAGAGAGGGGGGGTCTCGCTCTTGCTCAGGCTGGTCTCGAACTCCTCACCTCAAACAATCCTCCCACTTCAGCCTCCCAGAGTGCTAGGATTACAGGAATGAGCCACTGCATTGGGCCCCACCACATTTTCATCCTCCTGTCTTCCTCTAACAACAACCCTGTGATCCTTTTACAAAACATGCTGCAGTCCACCAAGCACTTCCCTACTCGTTGGCTTCTCACTGTCCTACAGGCATTGATGAAATGCCTGTACAGGCTGGGAGCGCCCCACTGGTCCCAGGGCTGAGCCACCCTTAGGGCCTCGGACTTTGGGAGAATTAGAAAAAGGCCAATGGAGCACGACTGCATTTTCGGTCCTAACTGACCCTTGTGCAGGGCCCACGAACGGGAATTCCGCAGCCCAGAAAAGACCAACGTGGGGACAGGCTGGCTGTGGGCTCGGGGTGGGATCTGGGACTCAAAGCGTCTCCATCCGCGAAAGGTGGGCTTGTATTACATCTTCCCCAACCCGCTTCCAGACCATAGGCCTCATGAATCTGTGATTCTAGGGACAAGTTCATCTCACCCCAAACCGAGTGTTCCTCTACTCCCAGAGGCGTGTCATCTTGAGGAGTCAGCTGGCCAGGTGGGGGTGGGGGTGAAAGGGGAAGAAGATTCCAGGGAAGCTCTGGCCAGCTTCTCACAGGCACGTGGTGCTTTGATCCAAAGAGTCCTGCACAAGGAGCAGAAGACACGAATTTTTCTGGTTTAACTTTTTTGTGCCTCAGTTTCCACTTTTGGAAAATGGGAGGGTACCACCTAAGCTACAGGACAGTGTTGTGGGGATTAAACATTGCCCAGGCGAGACTGCCTGGACCGAATGGGTGCTCCACACGCCTTTGCGGATCCAACGAGTTTCAGCTGAGAAGGTTCTAGTGTGTCCTGGGTCCCGTGAGGAGGCCTGGTTTTCCCAGCACGCGGCTCCGGGACCCCCAGCGGAGCTCGCACCCCGGCTCTGCCGCCACTGCCGCCTCCTCGGGCCCGGGCCGCCGAGGGTTAATGAGAAAGCCCCACGCCCCCTTTGACGGCGCAGAGCCCACCTCGCTGAATTTGAAAAGGCGGCCCAGCAGAGGCGTGGGCGCCCCCAGACACTTCCCGCTCGGACCCGGGCTCTGCTCGCTCTGCTCCGGCCGGGGCCGCGGGTTCGGTCCAGGCGCCGGTGCGCCCCTGCCCGTCCTCGCGCCCGGGACTCCGGGCCCCCGCGGGCGGCCGCGCAAGATGAAGCTGGCCCTCCTCCTGCCCTGGGCGTGCTGCTGCCTCTGCGGGTCGGCGCTGGCCACCGGCTTCCTCTACCCCTTCCCGGCCGCAGCCCTGCAGCAGCACGGCTACCCCGAGCCCGGCGCCGGCTCCCCGGGCAGCGGCTACGCGAGCCGCCGGTGAGTGGCGCGGGGCGGCGGGGCCGGGGCTGGGGCCGGCTGGGGCGCAGCGCGGCTGGGGCCTGGGGGCGCGGAGCCGGGGTTGCGGTGGTCTCGGGCCGCGCCCACCCTCTCCCTTCCTTTCTTTGCTTCTCCAACCTTCGCCCCCGCGGCTCCGGGCTCCGAGAGGAGGTGGCTCGAACCTGCGGCTCGCTGGGGCTCCGCGGGCGGCCCCTGGACGGTGACCGGCTCACGTGGCTCCGCCGCGCTCACCTGCGCGGCCGCGGCTTTGTGTCGGGGAGCAGGTTCCCGGGGCTGCCGAGGCCGCGCGCCGGGTGCCCGCCTCGCCTGCCGGCGGCCCGGCGGTCCCGCGGGGGCGGTCTCGTCCAGTCTTTGGGGCTGAGGCCGCGGAGGAGCCTTCGCTGCGAGTCCCCAGCCGCCCGGGGACGAGGAGCCGGCTTGGACCCGGTGGCTCGGTTGCGGGGTCGGAGAAGGAGCAGGGTCACCGAGCCCGCTGTGCGGGGACCCGCCGGCCGCCTCCTCTGCCGGCAGGGGGCGCCCTGGCCACCCCCGGGCGGTCGGCGCTGCGTCTCCTTAGCCCGCGTTTGAATCCCCCAGAACAGGCTTAAGACCGCGAGTTAAAGTTGCCGAACTCCTTGTTTGCGTAACTCGCTTGCAGTTGCTTTCCCCAGTTAGTGGCACCCTCAGTCCACACTGCTCTAACAGCGCTGGGACACACGACCTCTGTCTGTACCCGCCGTCTCTCTCGGTCCTGAAACCACTAGGGTCACTGGAGTATTATCTTTCCTTAAACCCAGGAAACCGAGGCCCAGAGAGGGTTCCCTGAGTTCAGTGGCAACCCAGGACCGACCCTTTGTCTTCCTTCTCCAGGTCTGTTGCTTTCTACCGCCCTACTCGGCAGAAACCAAGTTCTTTTTTCTCCTTAATACTTCCCAAACCCAAGGACCACCAAGATGAATTCTGGCAGTGCCTCCCTGGCAGCAAGGAGACAGGGGTGTTTTGTGCCGGGAGGAGCGTGCACTTCATGGCTGCATAGGGCGGGACCCAGAAGCATAAAAGTGCTTCTGGAAAAGTTTGCATGCAATTCTATTTCCCTCATTTTGTTTGGAAATACTTCCCGAAGCTTCGATTAGGAGGATTCTCCAAACGCCCGCAATAGTGTGGTCTCTGCACCCTTCCATATGAGAATAGTCTCAAAAACAGGCTTTTCAAGTTGCAGAATAATACATATAGCATGATCTCATTTATGAGAAAGAAAAAGAAAATCAGATGTACATCTAGGGAGATAAATGCCTGGAAGAAAATTTCTAGGAAAGCTTTTCCAGCAGTTAGTGATATGGAGAGGCCAGGTTGGACCCGAGGACCACCTCATTTCTCCTCTACTTGTGTCTTGTCTGCATGTTTTACAAAGAACATCTATTTATGTATTATTTTTGTAATTAAGATGTGCGGGAAGGGAAAAAAGGCTCCGGCAGACTGGAATATGCTAGCTGGGAGGAGGGAGAGCTGAGGTCCGTGAAGGGAGGGAGTGCATGGGGACCTCGTTCTGGCATTTGGTGGGCTGGAACTTGGGGACCTCTGCAGAAACTTGGAAGGGATCATTTTAGCACAAACAAAAAGAGACCTGAACACATGCGGTTATCATCCAGAACTCTTTCCACCAGGACCAGAAGAGAGGAAAGGTGCAGTTAGGTTCAGGGAGGACATGGACGAATTTGTGGACACCGGACTCCTGGATAGGACACTAGGAGGTGTTAAGCAGCCTCGGGGCATGTTCCAGACCCTCGAGGTTGACGCCCCACAGCGAAACTGAGCCTTTCCACAGAACACCCAGCGTGGGCACTACAGGCACCTGGCTCCTGTCTGGGTGGGTTACAGACTGGAGCTGGCCTGGGAGTCACATGATCCTGTGTCTCATGAGCTGTTAATCACAGGTGGTCCTTGTCCTTGAAATACAAGAGCCCCAGGGGCAGAAAGCGTGGGCACAGCAGTCGGGAAGGTGCTTCTCACCGCACTGGCCACAGATTTGGCTCCGTGAGTGGCTTGGACTCAGTTGATGGGCAAGTCCATAGAGCTGTTTCTTGGCAAAGAGTTGTTTTTTATTTCAGTTATTGCTCCTAGTTGGAGTCTGATTTTTCAACATGGTTTGTGTTCTCTTTGTGTGTGTGTGTGTATGTGCATGCGTGCATGCTTGCTCCCACCCTCCAGGGAAGGATGTCAGGGGTTGCCTAATGCTGAGGACATCTTGCCTTACCCAGGGGTGCTCTGTTCTGGTCACTTCCATCAGAAGCCCAGTGTGGACCCCTCTGTCCAAGCTATTCTGGCAAAAAAGTCTCCAATTGCTTAGAGGCCATTTCCAGTAGCATCGTGTGGCCCTGGATACAGGCCACTAATGATTTTTGCTGGCCACAGAGTTGTTCAGATGCCAAATAAAAGCTGAAGGGAAATGCAAATTAATTGACTGGGAGGGCTACACTAAGGACTGAGCCCCCCTACCCCAATTTTCCCATTCTACCCCAACAGTCGACCTCCGTAACTGCAGGTTCAACACCTGCAGATTCAACCAACCATTGGTGAAAAAACCCCAAACAAACCCTAAAACAATGATAAAAAATAATACAAATAAGAAATGATACAGTCTAACAGCTACCTATCTAGCATTACATTGTAAATCAGCTAGACAGGATTTAAAGTATATAGGAGGATTGTGTAGGTTATATGCAAATATCATACCATTTTATATAAGGGATATAGTATCTGTAGATTTTTGTATCTGAGGGGGGCAGGTCCCAGAACCAATTCCCCCAGATACCAAAGAATGACTGTATTCACGTTTGTGAAACTCTTTAAAGTATGCACGTCTTACTCATTTTCCTCCTTCCCTTTCTTCCTCCCTCCTTTCTTCTGTCTCCTCCACAGATGTTTATTAGGGGCCTGCTCTGTTGGCCCCTCCCCACCCCCATATCCAACAGTAAGGGGGCCAAAACAGCAGAGTGGAAGTGGGAGTGGTCGGGGCAGGAGAAGGAGCGAGACCAGAGAGGGGCTTACACTCCATCCTTGCTGCACAGCTCCCAGCCACAGGAGGGAGAAGCTTTAATTTAATAGATGATAACGCTTGTATATTCTCGAAGTGCAGGTGTTCTTCTAAGTAAGGGAAACCAGAAGGGCTGTGGGCCTGCCTGGGATTTTGGGAGAGGAGGGAATGAGCACCTCTGGAGTGGGTTCCTGGGGCAGGGGATGGAGGACAAAGTCACTTGCTGCTCCTACTCTGAGGAATGGCGCTCCTTTGGTAAGCCAGTCACTCTGTCCAGGGCCTGGGCTGGAGAACAGATGGAGGCCGCGTGCTTGGGGCTAAATAGTCGCAGGTTATGAATTTAACTAATGAGTGGTTCGGCAGGTAGGTTCTGGCCTCCAGCCTGGACAAGTGCACCTTCATCATGACCTGCAGAGCCAGGTTCCAATGAGGGATTCTCAGACGCCTTGCAGTTCTGTTCTGGAAAACGGTGGCAGAGCAGAGCCTGCCCCGGCACACCCTCCCCGCCAGCTTCCCCCAGCATGGCGAGGGGCTTCCTCCACGGAGTTCCCGGCACATCCAAGCTTGGCCACAGCCGATACAAACAGCCACCCCTTGGCCTAGGAGTGGGTGCACTGCTGTGGGATGTGTCCTCAAAGGATGGCCTGGGATAAGTGGCCCTGGAAATGGGCTTGGGGCCACTTGGGCAGGGAGCCAGAGCCCCAGGAGTGAAGTCTAGAAGGAGGCAGGGGCCTGGGTGGGCACATCTCCTTGGCCCCACAGACTTGTCACCCCATGGGACCACAGCTAGAGAAGGGCAGGGCAGGTCCTTTAAAGTGCAGGGCCCAGGGCAGGGCCCTCTGCTCCTCTCCTGGTGGCGGAGCTCTGGCCTCAGGCTCTGCCCCTGATTCGCTGCACAAACCTGCACAGGTGACTTACCCTCTCTGCTCCTCTTCCCGGAGTGGAAAAGGGTGCACGGGTGCTGGGTTTGCAGAATGCGTAACCTCATTCTTTTTGGCAGTCCTACTGTCATCAGGAGCGAGTCCGAGTTGCCTAGCCACGTGCCCAGCCCTCTCCAGCCTGTGCAGCCCCCTGTGCCACCTCCTCACCCTCTGGGCCATCCAGGCCACACCTTCAGTGAGGCTGCTTATATAATGAATGATGGTGACAGTTTCTCCTTGTGCTGTTCCTGCAGGCACCGTCATTCTCACCCGCCCCAAGGCTGCCACTCCCTCTTCCCCATCCTGTCTTTATGCTGGGCACCCAGAGGTCCACATGGCTCACCAGTGCCCAGCGCCACTTCCAGGCCTTTCTCTCACCTCTACTCTACCTTGGCCACTTCGTCTTGGCCTCACTCTGGCTCCTTACCCTCCCCCCTCCAGAGGCTCAGGGGGCTGCTGGCAGTGTTGACAGGAGGTGCCTGGCAGGAGGGCGCTGGAGTGCCAGTGTCGTGGTGTGGGGGCCACAGAGCATAGATCCTGACCAGGCCTGGAGGCTGCCATCTGCGGGGCCCATTTCAGTTCCATCATTGTCCATCTTCCTCCTCCATGACTGTCCAAGGGAACTTTCTCAGCGGTGGCAGAGGCCATCTCTCCCCTGGTTGAAACCATTTGGTGTCCCATCATCTCCTACATCAGGTGGCAGAGAGGTTTCATCTCTTAGGTGAACTCTCACTGGTTAGTAGGAGCTTCCCAGGCCAGTGTGTTAAGCAGGATTCTGAGGTGGAGTCTGGATTCCATGAGAAGCAGTGCTGGGACAGTCAAGTGATGGCCCTGTGAGAGTGTAGGGGCAGGAGAGCAAAGGGGAGTGGGATGTATTTGCAGCCCAGGCCTTTATGATAAAGTCTCCCTCTTCCAGCATTACATATAGAGGCTGCCTTTAAAAAGTCCATCTCTTGGCCGGGCGCTGTGGCTCACGCCTGTAATCCTAGCTCTTGGGAGGCCGAGGCGGGCGGATTGCTCAAGGTCAGGAGTTCGAAACCAGCCTG